CTATGTAATTACTTATATAAATTACTTAATAAAGATACGAGCAAGGCCTCACCTTAATATTAAAAAAAAAAAAAAAATTTTTATATAATTAAACTTTTAGTTTACAAAATTTAGTATTAATTTATTTACTGTAGATTAGTATTAATAGAATACTACCAGTAGTACACTAAATTTACAAAAATCAACAATTTAATTAAAAATTTTTAATTTAAAAACTTTATTAATAATATCAAAAAAAATTATACTAAATAATATTTGTATAATTATCAGATTTTTGTATATAAAAATTATTTAGATATATAATATTTTAATTGTACTACCGGTAGTACAAAAAGTGAAATCATATCCATTAATAAAGTGCAACAGAGTTTTACTAATATTCGAAGCCATTACGGCAGATTCTATTCAAGCCTAGAATTTTGACGATTATATATACCCTAAAATAAGATATCTTAAATTGGAGTACAAACAGAAATCGGCCGTAATACACTATGATGCCATGGTTATGACGTTACTTCGTGCTTAATAATTGTATTATCCGGTATTTATATTTATTGGATTTTGCTGGCTGGTGTCTGGAATTCTGAAGTTTTATATGCGGATCCACACATTGATCTGGGTCAATGGTACGGATTTAAAACAATCCTCAACGTATGAACTCAGGCATAAAATTTTTAAAATAGTTAGTAACTGCAAATCCGATAAATACACACATCACCTCTGTCCACTCACAAATCCAAATCCAGGTATATGGGGTTAATCCGAGTGAGTTATAAAATCGTTCAATCCGTTAATCATACATAATTCAGGTATTATTAACTCTAAGACGAATTTTGATTTTGAGGCCAATTTAGAATTCTGCAAGCTCATATCGGGTATTTTGTGAGTAATTAGTAATTGATGCATTGTTCCAATAAAACGATAGTCCCGAAAGTTCATTTTGGGTGGTTTCTGATGAACAGATATTTGTATCAAAAATGTGACTATCTTACAATTTTACATGTGATTATATCGTGACCGATCGTAATGGGATTATAATTTATTACATTTATATCATATTTATATTTATTATTATATAATTATATGTACATAGTCATAATTCTATTAATAATTATATGCATATATAATCATAATTCTATTAACAAACATTTCGCAAATAAACACTATCAGCCAGTAAAGTGTTTTAGATACAAGATTTACTAATTCCAAATAAGCACTAATATCTTTTTGGAAATTAAATATTGTTACGTACAAAAATGGTTATCCTTGGCAAGATAAGATATACATTTCAATGAAACCAGAGGAACATGCGCTGTAGCTCAACTCTGATTGCTCTGATTTGCCAGATTTGCTAGTTAGAATTATGGAAAGACAATGATAATTAAGTTTACCATAATAAAATAAAATAAAATCTATTTTGCTTATTATATTATTGTAATATTTGATTATCTGATAATTAAGATGATCCACTATAAGAGGTAATCACGAGATTCTAAATATTGCCGTTATTACTGTACGTAGTATATTTACCGATTTAGAAATAATCTTTATCAATGGATTCCACACGGATAATTTTCTATCATTGTACACAAATAGCCGAAATAAGATTAACATAAAAAACGTAAGTTTACGGTTTTCCCCCCTTATGCAAGAGATATGTTTTGTTTTAAATTGACAAATAATTCCTAAAAATATCGCTCATTGGATAAATATCGATGCATAAAGATAGTCGGTTAATTCTTTTAATGGTTTATTCGAATTATTGTAATATAGCTATTATAAAAAACCATTCGTTCATTACTTTAGATTTACTAAATATTTAATATCCAACGAGAATGTCAAAGTTCTTAGCAGTAAATTACAATGTTTTCAAATCAACATAACATCAGAATAATATAAATTAAACTAAGAAACGGAAATTTTCTTATCTTTGTAAACAAATTTCTTACGTCTATGGATCTAATCTTATCTAATTTGACGTCAGTAATACAAAATTCGTTAAACTCGCGGTTTTCACGGAACATTTGCTTTCTATTTATTAGCAAACACCTTTTGTCTTATCTGTTTTCAAATTTATAAATCTTTTAAATCTTTTAGCATAATCTATGAGAAATTTCTTTATTAAAAAAGAAAAAATAATAATAATAATTTTCTTACAATTCTTACAATTTTATAATTTGAATTTTTGAAACATTCTATTTTATGTGAATATTGAGTGACCTGTAGAAAATTAACAGGCATAAATAATGTAAATCTGGATGCTACGTATCTCTGTTATGTATCGCCAACCGGACAAACAATCCTAATTAAAAACAACGGGTCACGATCACACGCACTGCACGCCCTACGTTCATTTAAAGTATTCATTTTGGAGTTAGATTGAAAGTAATTAAAATTAAGTTTTAGAGTAACACAATTTTCTAAAAAAATAAGAGTGCTTTATCATAAATGACATACGACACCCTTATCAGCATTATTTATTATTTGTATCACATATTTTTATAGTTAATATCTTCAGATAGTCTTATTTATTCACTGTTCTTGTTATGAACATGTTTTTTGTTGGACTTATGAACTTTGATTTTGACGCGCTATTACATTATTAAAGATTCAATTATATACTCCATTGTCTTTAACATCGTTCTTTAAAGCTACTGTGTATATGATCCATCCATTATTATCCTTAATTTGTTTTAAGATTTCGTAGGGATTGAATTAATTCTTGAAAGGACTTTTTTATTTTTCTATTGCATCCTTCGTTTAATATTCATTTAGTATTAGATTTATTGATGATTAATTAATTTTAATTACCATCGACACGTCCAACTTATCGCTATTGATTTATAAATGGAACCTTTTATGCTCTTTGCATGCATAATAATTTCAATTTTGTGCTTGCAAAATATTTATGTTCAAGTTAAACGTCGCGCTCAAATTTTAATATGGTATAGCATCTCAAATTCTATAATGTCCGTCTCCTTCGTCCTCGCTGGCATATTTCTTCCAAACGATTTTAGCCTCGAAAATGCCTCAACCTTTGAAAGTGTTTGGTGTGGTATCAGTGGCCTCCTGTATTCTCTTTCTTCTATTTCAAATTATGGTGTAGCATTAGCTCTATCAACTGAGCTTTATATGTCTTTAGGCTTTGCAACTCCCGTCACAAAACGAAATGATGTCAAAATAAGGAGGCTTAATTTTTTTTTAACTGTCGTGATACCGATAGCGAGCATTGCATTGAGCTTAACGATGTTAGCTGTGCATCATAATCCTATATTTGCGGTGATCGATACGGGTGGCATTTGTTCAGTCTCTCGGCATAGCGACTATAGAATTCCTTTATTTTTTGCAAGAACCGTTCCTGAATTCTTACCAATTTATCCTGCATGTGTTTTATCTGGTAATTTTTTCTTATAACTTTGTCATCAGTTAATTTTATTAATAATTATTAATATAATATATAACAATTTTCTATTACAATATTTATTACTCCTAAAGTTATTACTGTAATCCCTGTCGCCAGAAAAGTTTACCGTACCTATCGTTTTCGAGAAACATTCGCGCTTCCTTGGCAACCCAGAATTTCCCCTAAACCTAGTCAAATACGCAGCACGCGTGCAGGTCCACCACCAAACACTGCGTCTTCCTCTCCAAAACCAACTATTCCACGAAATGTACTTCTCCGTATGGCTTCATGGTGTTGCCTATTACTCATATCAGGAATACCCATAGCAACAATAAACCTTATTGAAAATATTCATTACGTAATATATAATGTTACGTACAAAATAATCAATAATTCATTTTGGGACAGAAATGGTGTTACTTTACATATGTGTGTGAGCATGATTTTATTTTTATTATGCTTTGGAACTGGTGAATTTGCTACCGAACAATATGGAATACTCTGGACCAAAATTCTTGGTTTTATTTGTTGCAGGTATGTCAATTATATAATATCTCTTCATTCACTTTTATTTATTTATTTTTTCTCACTTGATATATTATTATCCCTTAATTTTAATCTCTCAGTCCATCCAAAATTCAAAGTCATCAAATAGAGATTGAAGTGGTTTATACGGATTTTGATATGACAAGTCCCAATTATTCTTCTTCAATACCAACTTCCTTCATCGCCTCTCCTCAGGTTGCATACGTTCGTTCTACACCAATAGAATATACTTATGTAACTCCACCAATTGATAAAAAGTATCTGACTGGTGCAAGAGCCGGATGGGTACCTTCCAAAAGTGTGCTATGTCAACAGTGTCAAAATCCTATTAAATCAAATTCAACCCATAATCATCCAAAAACTATTAGACAAACTTCTTTAAATGAACATTCTGGTATTTCATCACAATGCACTAAACAAAGCAGCGATATATCTAATGCCGGATCAACATCTGGTCAAGTTCTTATAACTATCCCGGAGGAGGCAAAATTAGGCTCGTAAAAGAAAAAAAAAAATTACTAATTTTTATTTCACTGTAACAAATTAATTTCGTTATTCTTTCCCTAAAAACAATTGATTATTTTGTAACAAATTAATTTCTTTATTCTTTCCTAAAAAACAATTGATTAATTGACAATCCACCCACGAATCCAGCTTTTTAAGGACCCTCATTCTTTTGTTATTCTTCATTTTAACCCATCAATTATAGGGTAAACATCAAACCTTTCTTTGTATTGTATAATTTGTTTAATATTTTTACTGCGCAATTAATTTAAATACTGTAAATGTAGGGACGATGATTTTCTGCAAAATGCAGAATGCAGCAGAAATCACGTGAATTATAGTCTTTTTGCAGAAATTCTGCG